TTTTTCTTCCAATTTTGCCTTAAGTTCGCCTGCTGTAGTAAAATGATTATGTTGCAGAATTTTTCCAATATGGCAGCATTGATTTGAAGCCAATTTTCTTGGACGGCCAGAAGAGTAACCAATAGAAATTTTGCCAGTTTTATTTAGTAAACTGACATATCGTTCACATATGCGCAAAGGAATGCACAATCAATTAGAAATTTCCTTTGCATTACGCACATTTAGGTCCCAAAGTGACTTAACAGAATTTCTTTGTATTTCTAAAGAGTTTGGCATAGTTTCAGAAATGAAATCAAAATAAAAACAAATAACAAACCTTATTTTTTTAACTTAACTTTTTAATTCAGGTTCCAATGTCTGATTTGGGCATATAAATAAATATCTAAATCCAGAAAGTGGTGAAACCGCAGCCAAAAATAGATGCGGTCTTCCACCGCCATTCTTTTCGCTGGGGACTGTAACTACTTAGAAATAAGATTACGACCAGATGCTCTAATTTTTTCTATTTCAGAACTATTTCTCTTATATAAATCCAAGATATCTTTAGAAGATTCAGTAGGTAAAATAGAAATAGAGACGCGAACAGCCTTGGTTCTCGATTTTCTTTCTTCAGTTTTTTTCACTTTATTATCTGAAATAACATTCTCTTCTGAAGTGCTAATTTTAGTATCATATATTTTATTTTCCAATGCTGTGAAGGCAGAATCAAATTTATTTTAAAATTCTTCCTTTGGTCTTTCAGTTTGGCATGATTTCTTCAGGATCCGCTTCTCATTCTGTTTATCCATAATGTTCATGCTTGAAATGACTGCTAAATCATTCCATTAAATCCTGTTTAACTCCTGTCCTCTCCAAATTCGATATAAGCGACTATTCGATATATTATATTTTTTACTTAGCTGAGCTAAAGGTTTGGACTTCATATCACGGTATTGCATAATGTCTTTATAATCTGCGGGAGATAAATAACTAGCCTTGGAACTAATATTTGTTTTAAGCTGGAGTGTGATCATATTAGTAGTTAATCGCTAGAGATTTTTTTCACTATAAATAAATGTATAAAAAATATCAGTAATACTGGTATTATGCTAGTATCAGTAATACAGTATTATCGGTAGTATTGGTAGTATCGATAGTATGCTAGTATCAGTAATATGGTAGTATCAGTAGTATTAGTAGTATCAGTAATATTAGTAATAATAGTATTAGTAGTATGATAGTATCGATAATTTTGTAGTAACAGTAGTATCAGTAGTATCGGTAGTATTCATAAAAAATAAAGTGTTTTCAGGATCACTCATAATTTTTTTGTATACTAATGACTAGGCTGAAAAAAATTATGACCAATGTGCATACCTTAAAAGATATCGAAGATAAAGGGGTAGTTAGAGGTTTATTAGGTAAACAAATCCCTCCAGGTCATCAGCTTGGTAGCATCTGTGAATCAGAACTTGAGAAAGCATTACGCGATAGCATCAAAACTGCTTCTGATACTGCTAATGAATATAAAGTCCTGCAGGGTGTATATTTAGAGCGAGTGAAGGATTTTAATCATATCTGTTTAGGTTTTAACAATAAGTTTAATCAGCTGAATACAGGTAATAGTGAGCTTGAAGTCAAATATACTGCTGAAATCAAATCGCTCAAATCTTCTATTAAAACACTAAAAAGAGAGCTAGTTTTAGCTCAGAAAGCTTTGCCCGCTGACAAGATCAAGATTCTCTCTCTTGAAGCTAAAGTACGAGAATTGGAAGGTAAGTTGGATGACTTGGAACTAGAACAGGTGTTTCATGATTCAGATGCAGTAGAGGAAGTGGTAAAAGAGCCAGTCCAAATAAACTTATCTAACTCTAAAGAGATCGATTCTTTCAAACTTGAATTAGAACGAGTAAAAGAGAATCTAGATTCAAAAAATTATGAAATAGAATGTATGGAAAAAGGGATAGAGTCATCAAATAACATATACAAACGGGAGCTGGATATTCAGTCTTCAGAACGAATAAAATTGATGGAGGAAAATAAGTCCCTTTGAGATCGGTTAGCATTAAAGAAAGAGCTGAGAGGATGTAATAAAATAGCAAATCTCTCTAACACCACACCTCCGCCTATAACGATTCATTGCAAAAGCTACCAGCTTGGCTCAATGACAATTTAAGACCCCTCGTCCATGAGTGTGGTCTTGAAGATAAAGTTATGTAACTCGATAAAAGTTTTTTTAGAGAAAATATATTAGAGGCTTTGCAAGAATTATTACTCTAGAAAGGGATGCGAAGCATTCAGATGACACAGAAATAATACTATTGTCCTAAGAAATACCTCTAGCACCAGTGACTGTTTCTGCTGTTACGAGTTCTCTAATATCGCCGATGGTATTATATTCCATGCTTGCTTTTATACTGATTGTGGTTATATGATTCATGGTCAGGAAATGGTGGAATTCATGGAAAAAAAGTAATCAATATTCTGCCCCTTTTTTCTCACTAGATTCGAAAAAAGAAGCTAGGCTTTCTCCTGCAGAAGCCTTTCTCAATCACAGATTTTGGGGTAATCTCCCGCAGTTCTTGGATAAGGGAGGGGTGTAAGCTAATACGAATCAGTCTTATCAGGATCATTTATTTCAGATTACATGCTTACATAATGTAGTATTAGTATGTTAATATTCAAAAATAAAAAAAATCATATGATTTTGATAGGAACGCCTCCGGTTAAAATTGTTCAAGAAAATTTTATTAAAATAGTACGTGAAAATACAAAAAAAATCTAGTTATCTCGCTTAGGTGAAGAATCTGTAGAGCTTTTTTCTACATTCTGATTTGATCTTTTTAAAGGTGCATTGTAGAGTATACTCATATTAACAATTAGAATATTTCGCAATATCAGTAATGATTCTATGAATTTTTCTACAATAGACAGATCTGACAGCTGAACTGGAATTTCTGATTTATAAAGACGATAATATCGATGGACCTCGCTCATATCCCTTATAAGAACACTTAAATATAATTTCTTTTCAGCTATTTGCATCCCAATAATTCCAAATTCGTCCTTATCAGGTTTGCAACTTTTACGAGTCCAGTATATCCCATCATTGTTCTCGCGTTACAGCTTCACTTGATCATCTCTTTCCTTTTGCGCTGTACATGATAAATGTGAGCATTCAGTAAATAAAAGTTCGTAATTTTTTCTATTATGTTTCATTACAAATATAACATCTGGCCATCTTCCAGTTCGTCTATCACCTTTCTATCTGCGCTGGTACTACTTTGACGTTCAGAACTGCTAACAAATGTGGTTTTTCCTAGAGGAAGATTCTTCAATGTTGCCTGAATGGCTGGTACTATCACATTGGTCACATAAGTACCTTTATTCAGGGATTCTACAAAATTCATTTCAAATGCGTGATTATTCCAAGAATCACGTCTAATATAAATAAAAATGAGCGGAGAGTAGAAAATCACTAAATATTTGAAATATCATAAAAAATACTTACAATGTATCTAAAATTCTCTTCGTGATTAATGCAAGCTCGTTTTCTATTTCTTTTCATGTCCTATCATGTATAAGTTTCTTTGGAAGATCATTTTCTTGATTTTCAATGAAATTAGCAACGAATTCATTACATTTTATTTTCATTACAAACGGAAGAGATAAAGGCACCATTTGTTCTACTGGCTTCATAAAAGTGTGCCTAAATTGACCTGGCAACTTCTTTACAACTTCTGACTTATCAGAAATTACTTGACTAGCTAGAGGATCCATCCATGATAATTCAGAAATATTCATACTATTTATACCATAGTATAGATGCTGGTTAATCAGTGTCGTTGTATTTTTCTTGAGTTTGCTTTCAATTCATTTATATTTTTTTCAATCTCATCGGAGTTAAGAGGTCTTTCTTTATTTGTTCTAACTACTCCTATATCACGCAAACTACAGACTCCTTCAAAAGCAATCTCAAACTAATATAATTAAATTATGCGTTAGTTTCAGTAATATAATAATCTCATCATTAAAAAACGCATGCGCTATCAGTACATATGCAAAGTTATTATCTTAGTGTGGCCATCACGTCAATGAAACCTTGTGTGATACTAAATAATTATATAATATCTTACAGATTAATCATCCCCTCATGCATTGAGAAATATTCTTGGAACAGAGCTAATGGAATGATTAAAATACAAGCAATAGTTTATACATCCTCCATGCAGTTCAAGAAATAGTTCCTTTAGATGCAGGCTAATAGGATGAATACACTATCATTTCAGATCTCGTTCATGCGAGTGGATCACATAATATCATCATTTATTGGAAAAAAATATTAGTAAAGCTTTACAACTAACCTGAGGAAGTATTCGAAGAAGTTTTAATTGACGCGAAGGTTCTTCAGCATAAAGATTACTAGCAAACCCTATGGCTTAGTCTATAACGCTTCTTAAATCATTTTGTAAAATCCAGGGATCTTCTTCTATTTCCTGATAAATGACTGAGGTGGCAGTAATGTATTCTTGCTTAGCAGTTACTAAAAAATTGTAAATTTTCAAGTATAGTTCAGAAGACATAGTTTTATGATGTCAATATAGAATAAGCGACCTGAACATAAAATTTCCATACTGCCCTTTTAATGCCACCATTTCTTATTCTCTTCATGTTTGGGAATGAGATAGGAGAAATATGCAAAGCACTTTACGCCAATTTTTTTTTTAAGAATAAGGGTATGTGGAATGTGCATTGAAGATCTCAATGGTATACTTTAATGAAGATCAAAAACATGTTTAATTTATATCGTACACGCTTACATGCATTAACCTTAAGACTCTTCGCATAGCTGAATAACATAATATTCAGGATCTTTCTCGAAAAATACTATATTAAAATAGTTATACGGTATATTGCTGAGGATCTAATCCAGAATAGGTAAATCAGGTTTTTTATCTTGCAAGTGGTACATTTCACAATTATACTAGGCGATCATGTATGTAAATTATATAGCGCAAAAATAAAGAATGTTAAATGAACATGATTTTTATTTCATCTTTTAATCTTAACGTAGTACCTCGATTAAGATAGTAGGGTCCTAACCTCACCAGATGATTCTTTGAATCAGACACTCGGGATAAGGGACCTAGTAAGTTATTTTGTTTTGCAAATAGAGACAAGATAATTATTTCACTCGTATCACTTTTGCAATTCGATGACTGATAAGTTATTGATGAAATATAAGCTGGCTCCAGAACACTTAATATCGTATTTTCTGTTATAGTTGTAGTCTTAGCCTTAAAGCAAGAGCAATCCCAATGATTTTTCATCAAATCTTCAGACTCAACTTCATAGGCCCATCTGCGTCATCCATCATAATATACTTTTTTAGGCTTTACTTCAGTAATCTTCATCAATTTCCAGCATTTGAAACAGATGGCTATCTGACTTTTATGTACACTAGGTCTACGATATCCAAAGTAGTCTTCATATAACTCACCATTAACACAGTATGTTTTGGATCCTACTTGTCCGAATGAAGCGAAAAGGCTGTATACATGATATAAACTTTATTCTCACTTAGAAAGTAATTTTTGCAGAGAACCTCTTACACAATTAGCCCATTGCTGAGGTGTTTCATGAGGTCTAATAATAGACAAATAATCATATTGTTTTTCTATTTTAACAACTTTTTCATACCGATAGTTATCAGTTTGAGGACGATAGTTAAAAACATGTTCCTTATCATATCCAGGGCGGAGATTGATGGGTTTAGGTACAGTTTTATTATAAATTCTATCTATAATAATTTTAATCATTAGTCTAGGCATATTTGATGATTATATACAGTCAACTCTTGTTATAACGAACTCTATGTCTTAGATTTCAACTTCACTATAAGGCTATAGTGAAGATTTTAAGAGATTTGATTGGTCAATTCGCTATAACAAGAGTATTTTTATTATATTTGTTCAAAAAATTCGTTATATCAAGAGTTCGCTATATCAAGAGTTGACTGTAATTACGGATAATAAATAAGATTTATAGTAATTTTAGTGATATATAGCGTTTTTAGCGAATATTTCTTGTTATAGCAGTTTGTAGCAAGTATATTATAATAAAATATTGGATTCATTTTTTTATTCGATTATAAGCATATTGAGGGTTTATATAAGGTTCATATCCGGCTATGTGTCACATGTAAGGGATTTTCAATGGCATAATTCGGTTAAATTAGTTCGAGATAATAGCTAATCAGAGGTATGATCGCCAGAAATTCGGAGTATAAGATGATCTAATACAGGCTTTGTGGATCTCTCGTGATTAACAGGGATTACCCAGACGCTTCATATGATGTATAACATATCCAGGAGGATTAGCATATTTTTTTGTGCATATTTCTGGCAAGTCTTACAATAAAGTAACGTCATACCACCCATATACAGCATACATTGGTTAAAAATAACTCGCCTCATAAACTTTATTATTTTTTCATTATTTTACTATGGAATGATAATCACATATGTCTAGAAAATATTAAAATGGAAAAACTTCGGCAAGTGTAAATAAGTGATCACACATGAGTAAATTTGGCTTATTTGAAATCTGTAAAAACTTCGGTAGCTGTGAACATATGTTCACACTTGAGAAAAAAATATGCAGTAAATTTCACTGACCCGCTTTTAAATCTTTAGCTAATACATAGTCAATATCCTCTACGCCTAACCTTGAAATAGTCGACGCTAAAAAAGACTTAATGCAATTTATCTTATCTACCCCTCCAATCCCATCAAAAAGTTTAAAGATCTTTATTGCCTTTTCCTTCCTTTTTCTAAGATTAGCCTCTGAAGTTTTATCCTGGTCTGGAAAGCACTCACGAATTTTATCATTAACTAGAGAATTAGACGTATCATCACTATACGTTTTTTTATAATGATCAAACCATAACCTATATCCTTTCCTAAAATAGTAATAGCTATGGATCAGTTGTAAAACGGTTTTTTGATTATCGCCTTCAGCTTTGATGATCCTGTCATTTAATTCATAAAAATTAACTGAGTTAACATCCATTTCGGGGAATGTCTGCAAAGAAATAGTACTATCAGAAAAAATTTGCTGTGGAATAGGAGCGGATAATTCCTTGATTAACTTTTTTAAGATGGGCGAATCTTCTCTTCTAATCAATTTCTTAGCCTTCTTCTTAGACAGTTTTTTGATGGATGAGCGTGAAGTAGAAGCTTGTAGCTCAACATCTTCGCTAGTTCATTTTTTACTGCTAGTGAGTATAAAGTTTTGATTATCAGGTTGGATTTCTAATTCTTCTTCATTGACCTCTTCATCCACTTCCATTTCTTGAACTGGCCTCTCTTCTTCTTGGATTACTGATGATTCTATCTGAAGTTGATTGTTCATTTTCCTAACTATCGATGAAGTACTTGATTGAGACGATACAGAAATTCTCCGTTCAGTAATCACAGACTTAATGATCACGGTACAATTATCGATGAGACAGTTATTTTGTTGAGTAAGTAAAAAAATTTTCTCGATACATTCTCTATGAAAACATGGCCACAGCTAAGTACCATGAACGTCTTGATAGGAAGTATTAGAATCTCGTTATTACACTTTAAACATGGTCCCAGCTTCAGAACTTCTATATCTCTAACTGATTCATCCTCGAGATTTTTTAAGATGTTATAAGCAAGATTCTTAAGACTGTTTAAAGACATGATCTAATACAAAACATATGTGAGATATCACTGTCATATTCAATATTTTTATAAAAAACATTTCTCCGCAGTTAATGCTATGATCATCGCAAAACATGAAACAAATATGATAATCCTATCTATTAATTTGCTGATCCCAAAATTAAGCTGTATTAACATGCAGGCCTTTAATCATTCAATAAAGTCCTGTATCACAACTAGACATTGTTTCTTCCTCCGGTCACATTTGTTTGGAAAAAAATAAGAATAGGAAGTTAATAGAATTTCTTTTCGCTTGATATATGAGAAAATCCCCTATTACACAGACTTGCCTTGTGATCAATTTATCTGTCACACAATCTGTAGCTCAGTAACATTAAATGGTAATGGTTTTTTAATATCAGATTTTAACAATTTTAGCATGTTTTCTAGACCCTTCAGACTTTTTTCAAATGCTTTGTTTGTTTCCCTCAAATCAGGGAAAATAAGAGATGAGGAATCATGGTTAAGCCGGCTCGTTTCTGGCTGATCCTTTTGGAACTGCTCCTCTTTTTTATTGCTTTCCATTTCTTATCTGCAAAAAATATTAATAAAAAAAATATGAATTATATCCTAGAAATACCTGAACTACTTGAAGCTATCTTTGCCTTTCTCAGTCGGAAAGATCTTTATAGGAGTTGTGCCAGAGTAAATCATCAATGGAATGCTGTATCTAAGCTTATTATTCGGAAAAAGAGAAAAGCTGAGTTTATTAGTATTCCTGGCATTCGTGATAATATTATTTTTCACCTATATGATGATCACCTCAGTTTAACCGAAATTGTTAACTATTGCAAGGTTAGTGATATATGGAGTAATATTCTTAATCAGTTAAGTGCAAGGACTATTTCTCTTTCTATGTTATATCACCATAAAGCTTTCTTAAATGCTTTTCGCTATAGTAGAAGGCGATTTCTTTATAATAAAAAACGATTTATATGTTATTTTACAAGACGTAATACGCAATATTATTTAAAACAAGACCATGAACTAAACAGGTACTATCAGGATATCTATTCACTTTATGAACTAAGGGATGAATTTCTTAGACTGGCCAGAGTTTGCCAGTCCTATGACTATAAGCCAAATACTGAAGACGAATTTCGTAGGATATCCAGAGTTTTTCAGTCTAATAGACATTAACTGAATATTTATTACATCAGGAAAAAATAATATAATAATGTATGTGATCCAACTACACATCACTATCTAACTTATGGCTGAAAGCTAGATATGTGAGACACACATTCGTTTTGGTATTTCTCTGAGAGCTTGGCCCTCATAGCTCTTTTTTCGGCCACTTCATGGGGGATACCATCTTTGACCATATTCTTATAAATCATATTGCACCAATGCCCATATGGTAATGTAGTTATCCCATTTGTTAATATCCAGTGCTTAGTATCTATGGGGCAGAGTGCCTTCTTCTCAAATTCAACTACTGACAATATGTGATCCTTTGATCGAATACCTACATTCTTTGCATAAAATACTTTCTTACCAAAGAGACAGTCTCGATATACTTAAGTCATAGGATCGAAAACTTCAAATTGGTCTACTGGATCATCTAGCAAAGTTCTCCCTAAGGATGGAAAGTATGTATCAGTTGCCATCTCGCCTATACCTTTTTTACTAACCCCTTATGTTTAGAATTCGTAGTCTTATTTGCTAAGACATAGTGGTAAGACTTGGCCTGGATATGTATAGACTCAGTAATTACATTGTCAGGGGTCTCGTCTTTAAACTTGCCAATAGTTACATCCCCATTAAGAGCAAAGAGATCTGGTTGTTCAGCCATATCTTTATAGATATCTTCAGTCTTGACTTGGAATATGAAAGAGTCTGTATCCATATATCCAAGCTTAGCTTTATTCCCATATTTAACCTTAACATAGTCATACCAGAAGCGGTATATTAAGAGTTTGCTAAGACCCAAGACTGATGCTCTGACTATGATGGGCTTATTAAGAGTTACGCTAGCCTTTCCCATATGTGTACCTACTAATGTAGGACCAATTTGGCGACCATACTTGAATGTGGACTTCCAGACTTTAATAATAAATTTTTTTTCATCCCTCTTATTATTCATAGCCATGATCTTGACATCCTGGTATTTGTGAACATTTTCCATAGTCTTGCCATATACCGAGTTGTTCATGAATTTGAAGAAGTCCTTCTCAAATGCATTCTTTGCATTCTGGCGTAACTTGGTATTTTTTGCAATATATGATGTAAGCCAGTTAGTCTAGTCGAAGGATAAGATTTCTGTAACTTTATCCACTACCATACCTAGTTTTACATAATATTAGAGCTCTTGATAGTGAATGATATAGCCTTTTCGTTGACTAAGATGAGGGACTAACTTTTTTGTTTTAGAAAAATGCCTACCATCTAAGTTATTCACAAACTTTGTATTATATGGACTTAGCCAATTCTTTTCTACAACGATATTCTCTACTGCTAGAGGCAAATCTCTCAAATAATTATGGGTTTTTAGAGGGAAGTATGCATTGATATTTAAGAAATATCCTTGTGATGCATCTGCCTTAGTTTTTAGAATTATTTTGAGGTATTTCTTTTGTATGGCAAGATTCTTCCTTAAGTACTCCCGACTAGCAACCCACTTATAGCCACTTATAGGCAAGAATTGACTCATGGCCCAACCATAAAGATTATTTGCATCAACATATGAGACCCAAATTGTGGGTTAGGATGGATCGAAAGCCTCTTCTATCTTCAGATTATTGGCTTTAAAATATCGATACACAGCCATAGCTATACTATTACGCTTGGCTTTTTCTATAAAGTTATGCATAGCCATTTCTGTGAATAGCTCAATCTTAACCCCTATCATCTTAAGCATAACATCTTAGAATAAGGATGGTGCAGATACATAATGACTGGGATCAAGCTCATAATATTTTATAGATGTCTTTCAGAATGCAGTTCAGATATCTGTAAGACTGAGTACATCTGTCATAAGATAGAGATCATGGTACTCGCCTAGATTTTTACACCCAAATTCCTTCC